TTATCTGCCGAAATACATACGATTAAGAGAAAAAAGGTACTTTAGAGTTTCATATATAATTGTTGTCATGTTAAATTTACTTGGAGATAAAGAAACGATAAAAGCAATTTAAAGCTGCGAGTTTAGCGTCTTCTATTCAGGAAAATGTCCACTAAATAAACCTGTTTGCAATGCAAAGAAAAAATTGCAACTCTCACCTGAAAAGTGATACTAATCCAATTTTATGAGAAGAATGAAATATACAAACCTCTTCAAATTCGAGGAAGATGTTACGGGGTGAAACAACCGAAAACTTTGCAGACACAAGCAGGGTTGCACCTTCATTCTCCTGTGGCAAGAAAATAACTGAAATAACATTAAATATAGTTTTAGATAAGTAGATGATTTTACCGAGAAGAAGAACACACAACTCTATATAGAGCACAAAGTGTTTCCGTACACGATAGTGCAGGTTGAAAGTGTAGTGTGTACAAAAACAAACCGATTTCCCGTCCGCTGAAATGTACGTTTTACTAAAAATCACTAGCTAGGTACCAACTAATAAATTCCCTTATACATTATTTCACTTCTCATCTCGGCAAAATAGGTCTAGATTGTGCTCAATCAGAGTACGACACTTGAATTTTTTTTAAGTTGATATTCTCATTCGTTCTCTTGTTGTACTACACATATCCTAAATCAAAACCTTTTTTGAATGATAATAATAAACCTCAATAAGGCATTGGTCTCACTTTCTCTCGTTGCAAAAGAATGAGAAAAACCTTGTCAGTGTGAACTAAAAGCGAAGAAATAAGACAACAGTGACAGGTGCAGGTGTCGAAGATTTGGCCAACACATTTTATAGTTTATTATTTGACCATGTATCTAGCAAATCTTAGCACAACTTAGAAAATTCGTCACAAATAAAGACGACACGTTGCTAAATCGTATCTGACTAATCTCAATATTATTGCTTCCACCAAGTTTAAGTTTGGTTTTGCCTCACTGTGTTTTCCGAGTGTAGACACGATAAAGAAGAACTGAGGTCCCCCATTTCAAAATTTCAAATTGTCAAGATGTAGCTTAAGTTCATGCCATGACAAGTTAATAAACCAATAAAAAAGCGAATAAGCACCAGTAAATAAAAATAAAAGAAAAAGGCGGAACTACCTCGAGCACTCTGGGTATACTCCATCTTACAATGTTGCGGACGACACCTTCACCAGAAGATTGATCCCCCCCGCATTCAAATTTTTGGAATATTTGATCAATCTATTGGCAATGCCGTTTTACCAACAAATACGTGCATACATCAACATTTATATATAACTAAGTTAAAAGTCGTAAATATTTCCACGAATAATCGAGCGAATACATATACAACAACCTCAAGGAAGGGAAGAGTAGCGGCAGATTGAAAGAGAACGACGACATCAGGGGCAGAGGTGTACTGCAGACGCCAAGTGCCGTCCAACAAACCCAAGCTAATTGGCTTCCCAGCATCAAAGCATTCAACACTCACCTAATTACAGAACAATAACACAACATTAACCTAAGTTCTAACCCTAGGGTTTATACAAAATTGATTAGCATATAAAATGAAATTGAAGAAACAGTAAACGAACGAGGGCTTCCTCAATGGAAGAGCGTTGAAGAGGGGTGGCGGTTAGGCCGCGTTTGGTGTCGGTGACAGCTCTGAGAAGCTCGAATTTTCGATTCTCCAGTTCAATTTCAGAGCCCTAGAGAGAGAAAATTAAATTAATTAGTGAAGAGTGAGAAGAGAGTGAAATGAAAAGAAGAATTGAATTGTGTCAACAACAAGTAATAAATAAATACCCTAGTAGTATTAGTAGTAGCAGCAGCAGCTGGAGTAGAGGAGGAGGAGGAGGAGAAGGAAGCAAATCTGTGTTTTCTGAAAGAAAGGGGCGGCGGTGGAGAAAATGATAATGCCGCAGCCGCATCCATATTTTGGATTCAAGAGAAATCTTCTGTGTGGGGAGTTATGAACAAAAACATATCCCTTTGTTTGGTTGGTTGCTGAAAAGAAGCTAGTGTACCAGGTTTGGTAAATTGGTGGCTTCTCTTTCTCAACTTAATCAATATTCCAACATTTTTGACAAAAAACAATATTTATGGAAAACGGGAATTTATTATACATGGATCGCCAAAACATTAGGAAGCAAAACGCCTTCCGAACCAAAAGAGAGATATTTCTTGGCAAGCAAGTGAGCCAAAACATTGCCCTTACGTCTAATAAATGAGAAAGTGCAACTCGAAAAAGAATCTAAAATATTGAAGCACTCATCGCGTAAGAAGCATCATTTGACACCTCGCCGAGCTTGAGAGCGTTGATTTGAATCAATCGAGGCAAGTCGATTTGAATCAATCTGACTCAATCGTAAATTACTTGACTCAAGCAATAATTAAAATCAATCGACTAATTTGAAATTCATTGATTCAAATGAGTTGACTCGAGAGGAATGTATGGAAATAGAGAGTTGATTGAGCGAACATATACATTTATTTTTCTAGTTCTTATGTAATTCGTAAAATCTCATAATGTCTGATATTCTTTGTGTTGATCATTTCTCTAAAAATTCTGATAGTTCGATCATCTTCTAATTCTAAACATTTATGTATGATCCCCCATTCTCCTACGGTTTCCAAACATCATTTGGAATCATGCAGATCTTCATCAACGCCAATCCACAAGGACAAATATAAAGTCCAAATTTGTTTATTCTTGTTATTACTCATCTTTCTTCTTTATTAACTCCTATTATTCCTCGTTTTTTGGAACCTTTTTTCACCTATAAAGAAGAGATCATTAATCTTCTTCGACAACAAATTAATGATCTTCTATCCATCTATATTTTAGATGGGTAAATTACAAAAACCCCCCTGAGGTATGGTGAAAATACAAAACCCCCCCTCTTGTTTGGATAATTACATCTACCCCCTCAACTATGATTTTTTCTTACATCTCCACCCTTATTGTGCCAAATTCAATATAATCATCTAGATTCCGTGGAATGTGCTCTAGTTTGTATTCGTTTTGTGTAAAAATACAGTTTCCGATGCACTACAAACTGATATACACAAGCTAAAAATCACATATTATGATCATCTTACTTCATAATGTAGAGTTTGAACGGTATAAAACGGGTACAAACGTGATAATATTTCGTATAATCTCGAAAATTCCACTAAATTTGAAGAGCTGAGGGGGTGATTGTAATTATCCAAACAAGAGGGGTGTTTTTGTAATTTCACCATACCTCAGGGGGTTTTTTGTAATTTACCCATTTTAGATAGATGTTAAAAATAGTTTCTTGAACGAAAACCTTCGAAAGGAAGTTTGGGCTTGGCTTGAGAAGTTATCTAATGTGATTTGATCCATTGGTTTTACTTCTACTCAGGGGCGGACCCAAAGTATGTAGTGTCTTGGGGACGTCCCTGCAGAATTTTTTTTTTACTTGTTTCTTATCATTTTTTAATATGATTATGTTATTTATCTATTAGTTTATGTATTTTAGCCCTTCCAAAGTAACATTTTATACACTTTTAGCCTATAAAAATATTTATAAGCCCCCACCTTAAACCCCCCTGTTTCTACTGCTCATGATTTTGCTCTCTTTGTTAAGTGTACTAATGCGGGTCGTATCATTCTTTCTATAATATAATTATTATTCCGGGAAAAAAATTAGATCGGAAATCAGAATCTTAAATTTATATGAGATTCAAGCCCTCTATTTTGGAATAAACAGAAAATAATTATTTGGAATTTAGAATGAAAAATATTGTTCGGGCTTGAATCTGTATAAATAAAATTATTGGATTAATGTTTAATTTGTTTTGGGCCTCTTTTTAAAAGAATATATAGAAAATAATGGTTTGGGTCTCTTATTTTTAGCCCTTTAACAGAAAAAGTAAATGTAAAAACCTTTACTAATTCAGAGTGCTGATGTTGAGCTAAAATTATTTACTGATAATTCTTGTACATATAAGATTTCATAGAAAGTTAACACAAATTCGAGGCCCTAAAATTATTGATTTTTTTCGGAGGCTCAAGACGGTGGCCTTACCCGCGTTCTTACATTAATGTTCATGTTGTTTGTTACATCTCCTACTGAAGTTCATTGGACAATTGTTCCTCACATTTATTTTACCGCATCTATCGATCGAAGTCGATCTCTTATTTTCGTCCGCCACATCAATTACCATGAATGCCAAAATCGACATAATGTCACCGTCGCCTCTATGAGTCGATACCAAGCATATGTTGAAGTATTGAACAAGAAAAAAACATAAAAATTGGCTGTACGTAATGAATTAGAGATTGGATTAATTAGATTTAAAGACGAGAATAGAAGAACTCAACTTAAAATTAGCTTAACACAAAGGAGTTAATTAACTTACATACAAACTATGTAATGGCACGGAGAGTATGATAAATCTATATATAACAACTCAGCAAATTAAGACAAAAAAAAAAAAAAAAAAAAAAAAAGTATGTATATCAAATCTCCAACAATACATCTTTGTTGGAGGAAGCTGCATTTCTGCTACTGCTGGAAAGGCTCCAATGATCGGAAAACCCTCCGACGAAACCACTCCCACATTTCGCCACCGTTCTAACGCTCTCTATCAGCTCCTCCGTCTTTCCCTCTTCCGCCAATATCTCCATCAACTGCTCCGGGCTTATTACTAGCTTCACCTTCCAGAACCCATACGCCGCCGCCTTGCCGCCAACATGAACCGCGTCCTCCGCCGCCGGCGCCGACCTCTTCGTCAGCCCGCGGCTGTCGAATGACATCCTGTACGGCGCCGAACCGCCCAACTGCTGCGGCGGCGCGCTGTTAGATCTGACGTGCCCCACCCGCGGCGCCGCCCCCTTGACGGTGGCGGAATCCAGAAGCGGGAGGAGATGGTAAGACTCCCCGGCGAGGAGCACGTCGCTGTGCGGGAGGGGCTTCCAGAAGAGGTCGTGGCTCCGGAATATTCCGTGGCCGGGGAATTCGTCGGTGATGGACTCCACAGTTATGGGGGCGGAGAATTCCATGACGCCGCCGGTTGACGTGGCTACTCTGATCAATGATTGGTCGCCGTCTCCCATCCCACCGAACAGGCAATTCCCCATCTCTGTAAAATCAATCTCTCTCTCTCTCACTGGTATATTTATTAATTTTGGAGGGTAGTTTAAATAAAGTAGGGGAAAAGGAGGGAAAGTTATATTAAATAAATATTAATTTTCCTTTACTTGTTTAAAGATGACAGACCATATGCTGCCGACTTTAATAAGTATACAAAGAAAGAAAACTATATTATGAACGCTCACTGTCAGTACTGTATTAAACAAAAACCTAATTTTGTGACTAATCATTTAATTGAATATAATATTATTTATAATATGATTAATTAGGAGTAAATTAAATAAGTAGGCGGTCAAAGTTTGAAGAAGAAATGGGGTACTTTGGCTTTTTCTTTGAGCTTTCGTGGTTGGGCCCACTTTGATGTTGTTGGCATGTTTTGTAGTATCTGTTAAAGTGAAACCGACATCCATCAACACATCTCATTCACAATTACCATTTTTACTAACTGCGGTTAAAAACTAAAAATCACGCTTCTTCGTAATTTTAAGGATTTTAAAATAATGTGCAACCAATCTCATATTCATTGTACAGTTAATGAGTTATACTATTGTTCTTATATTAAATTATTTGTACTTTTTTCATAATTAAATTGATATAATGTCAATATTTTTTTCACCAGTGATTGAATTTAAATATTAATTAGAGAATAGTTAAACAAATCTTGTAGGAGTAATTGAATTTTTTTTTTTTTTTGAAATATTTGTTTTCCCCTATGAAATTTTGTGCATTTTTAGAATTATAACATTCAGAGTCGTTATCAAATCGACGTTAATTAAAAAAATACGTGAATTAAAAAAAATCATTTCTAGTAGACCAGATTTTTACAACTTCAAAATAGTGATGCTATTAAGTGTATATGAAAGTAGACTTCTAAGCATCTATTTAAGCTAAAAATCGAGCATTTGTTCATTCAATTCGTTTGTGTATATAGTGTAGCTGCATCTAGGAGTTAGAATCATGCATTTGTTGGATTTTATGAATTTTTGTGGAATTTTAGTGGCTAAATGGAGAGCAGGGCGAACAAGAGTGCAAACGAGGCGAAGAAGTGCAAAGAAGGACCCCGGATCGATCCGTGGGCAACGAGCAAGCGAGCGCGCAGAGACGGAAGAAGCATACTGGAATCACTGATCGATCAACGAAATTGTTACGGATCGATCGGTGAAGCCAACGCATAAACCCTAATTTTAGGGTTACCGAACAATAGGCGCATTGCCGATCGACCTAGCTCGATAGGTGCCGTTTTAAGAAGAATTTTTTGGAAATAAAAGATATGCATCTTGGAGAGAGGATAAAGGCAAAGAACTCGTGCAAGGACAACCAAGGATCAATAGGAGCACCCGACGACGAAGTTCAAACATAGAGTTTTCTTCACTCTCTTTTATTATGATTTTTAGTATTCAACAAACAACTTTTATTGCTTCCTTAGAAACTACAAGTAGCTAATGATACGCGTAAAACCTACGTATGAAAAACCGCAAGTGTACAGTATCGCGTTTTGTAGAATAGTGAATTCCAGATATCGATCCACAGGGAATTAAGTTCCTAAATCTACCAAGTACCGTAATTATACTATCCTAAACTTTATCTAGACGGGAGAAAAAGATGGGAGATGACATGAAGCCAAAAGGAAACAAAAATAATAAAAACAACGGTCCGCCAGTATACGCGAGGAATTCCGACGTGTGATGGCTTCTAGGGTAAAATCCACCAGTGTATTATCGATAAAGATCTACAAATCCGAATCTATTGTCAATTCTATGTTCGCTAACCCAGACACTAAAGTACCCTAACCCCCGTCTCCAGTGTAGTTAGAGTCTACCCACAGGTCCGACGTCTCCGTTCAGAACCTGATATTAAGAGAGCATTTAGGTCAAGTCCTTAAGGGCTACCCGAGGTGCATCACGTCTCCGTTTCCACAACCCGAGCTATGTTTTCCTAAAATCAAACGAGAAATCCTCTCTCGAGTTCATTCCCATTTACAATCAATTCAACTGTTGGCCAAACAATCGAAAGCATTTAATACAGGAAAACATAAACAGAATCAAAGAACGACAAAAAGATCACAGATCTGGAAATCAAAATCAATATATACAAGGTTTCATTTCCCTAAAAGAAAATGCTCAGTTCATTACAAACATAGCATCAAAATGAAGAACACGAGAAATCATAAACAAAACGTAAAGAAAAGCTTATGAAAAACCCGAGTCGAAACCCTCGTCGAAGCTTCCCGCGAAGAACTGGCGAGAACCGAAGAGAAAACCGAACAAAAAGTCGAGAGATGGTCGAGATGTTATCGAGATATTTAAAAATGAAAAAGAGACCTTCTATTTATAGTGAAAAATCAAAGAAAAATATCTAGTCTCGATTTCTGTGCCCAGATCGCGATCTGGGCTTCTTGGATCGCGATCTGGCAACCTCGAAAACTGCCCACCGCCTTCCCAGATCGCGATCCAGGAAGTGCGGATCGCGATCTGCCCCAACTTTTCGCTGCTACTGGAATTTGCCACCAGATCGCGATCTGGCCTCTGCATCAACTTCAAACACTTTTTTCACCCTTTTTCAGCCCGAATTCGACAATTATGCATTTCACAAAAGTTGTAGCCCTTGAAGTTAGCTTTCTAAATCCACTTGAATCAGCCCAATCGGAGGTCGTATGCAAAAGTTATGCTTGAAATACCAAACACTGCCACAATCCGCGAGAATGCACTTTTGCACGTGTTTGGTTTGGTTCTCGGCTTCGCTTCCAAAATCGTTTCGAATCGGCAAAAATAGCTTCTCTTTACCTAAAATATAAATAAAACAAAAACAACATAATATATACAAATAAAGCCGAAAACTCGGACAAACGAGACCAAAACTCGAAGAATTGATAAGTGAAAATCATGCAAAATGAACACTTATCAGCTAAAAATTTATCTAGAATTTTATTTGATCCTCCCTATATGGATGATTTGAACCGATTTTTGGATTTTAGATTTTATGCAATAGTTGGTTGAATGAGTGATTTCGTATGTTTGGTTTGATTTTTATGCATAGACAGCTTGATCAACATATGTTGTGTGAATTTGTAGTTGATTTATTGACAACTGATTATGGGGAAGTGGATTGTAAGCATACAAATTATAGGTTCAATGCCTAGCCGCTTCCCCTTCTTCGGCTGCCAGCCTACCGCCGCGCCGCCACCATTCTGTCGTGCCGCCGCCGCTCCTCCGCCACTGGAATTATATATATATGTTGGTGCCGTATCTGTATTCTTGTTTTTTGATTTATTTATAATCTTTGTTGACTATATTTTTTTATGTAACAATATAAAAGAAAATATATATTAATTAATTAATTTTTAAAATACAAAATTGTGGTACGTTATTAGCATGGTATTGAAGATACAATACCGCTACCGTACGGTAAAATAATGGTACGGTACCAATACCGTACCAAATGTAGTGGTAAGTGATAATACAATATTTATTCGGTAATTAGTGGTAGGTGTGCCATGGTGATCGGTATTTGGTAAAAAAAAATCCAGCTCTACAAACTCCTATTGAAGAAGTAAAGATCAGCTTTTAATTAATTTAGGTTTAATATTACAATAGATTCTTATAATTTTGTTACTAATCTTTATATATATGCGACTGTAAACGTGACTAAAGTTCTTATTCTATGAAAATAATTAGAAGGTATGAGTGACATTTAAAATAGTATATATAGAAAAGCATCTTATAAGTTGCATAATTTCCGACGTGAGTTTTTAATCAAGTCATTTGCATACATTTAGCAAACAAAGCGTCTCACTTTCACGAACTTTGTTATATATATCCTTTGATCTTTATTTCAGTGATAATGATTTCATGATTGGGGCTAAACAAACAACAATATTAATATAATAGAGATTAGTAATTATTAATTAGAGATAATTAATGATGTATTAGTGATTAGCATAGAAATTAAAATTGAAATTATAAGATAAGTGGCCGACCCTGGAAACCTTGAGCAATAGTTTACTTTTTGTCATGTTATGGCCGCAGGTGACTTCTGCCCTTTAACCTGAAATCCCGGCATGTGGTGAAAGCTTCAACTGAGTTAGTTGGTCTAATTAAAATTATGTGCCCAATTGAATTTACATATTTTTCTTCACTTTTGTTTCCTTTTCTGTAATCTAAATATAATATCCAAGTTTTTTGAGAGCCTACACACACTATCATTTGCTACAAAAATAGGCGCAATGCGACTCTATACACACTTGGAATGTACTTTTGGGAGTTACTTTAGTGCTTTATCCTTTATTAGAGTAAATCACCAACTATTTGTTTAACGTTAGTCATAAGAATCAATATACAAGTTGGAGTCAGGTGGCACTCATTTAGTGGTATCAATTGTTGGAATTTTAATGTGAATTAAGTTCTTACTGTATTTCAAATAGGTGCAACTTTTCAATGGATGAGTTTCTCCACAAACAACACATCTATTAATGAAATAACTCTTTATAAACAATGTATGCATTATGAGTTCTCCGTGAGCTTCGAATTTGTGCAAATATTGAAGTATCCGACTGTTGTACTTTGGAACACTACCGGGAGAGACTGTTGCACTGAAGAAAACAACCTGTTAAATATTATCTTAACGACATTGTTTTTGCAAGCCTCATTTGATTCATCATTTTTTCGTACTTCCGGTGAATTTCTACATTCAAATAAGTGCAATTCTTAATAACTATTTACGCATATTGTTATTTTACCTCAACATCAATAAGTTTTATTCCTCCACCAGTACTATTGATGTAAATAATATTAATTTGGTAGATAATCAAATCCCACATATCTCGTGATTTTGTATCTATAGAAAGTCTTGTAATAGGATCAATTGTAAAGGCATTATTTACATCGAGTTGGTGGATCTCCCACCCTTTAGTTACGGCTACGGCAAGAAACGTCCGTACACTTACGAGTTTAGCTACCGGAGCAAATGTCTCGTCATAATCAATACCTGCCACTTGAGTATCACCTCGAACCACTACTCGAGCTTTGTACCGTGCGATTGATCCATCTGAATTATACTTGAGTTTGTAAACCCATTTACAACTAATGGGCTCTTTGCTGGGCGGAAGTTATGAAATAACCCAAGTGCCGTTACGCTCCAAAGCATCAATTTCGGTTTGCATTGCCTGACTCCAATTTGGATCCTGTACAACCTCTTTAAACGTACGGGGTTCAACCCCATCAGAAACAGCAGCTACAAATTTGATGTGAGACTTTGAAAAATTGTGAGAAGAAATATAATTAGCTAAAGGGAACCGCGTACCAGAGGACCTGGCGGAAATGAGTGACGATGGGGGGTGTAATATATGAGTCGAGTGACAAACCAAATCCCGAAGATGTGGCGGTGGTTGGCGAGAGCGAAGATGACGACC